GGATTTTCCCGGACATGTTCGGCTTTTTGGGATTTCCCCCCGGACGGGGATTTGAATCCCAAAAAGCTGGACATATCCGGGAAAATCTGGACGTATGGTAACCCTATATAAGAGCTTTTCTAATGTGAAAGGCCATGAAGTCATGGGGAGTTGCTTGTGCAATAACCAATGGCAGAATAGGCCATAGCTAATTCTCAATTTCCCAGTGAAGTAGATCAATAAATAATATCCTTTTATAGATGAGAATACTCTGGCAGAGAAATTAAGTAACTTGTCCAAGGTAACACTAGGGAGTTGGTGTTGAAACTGGCATCTGAACTCGGGAGTTGCTGGTGCTCAGACTATACCTCCCCTAAATAAATGCTTTACATTGCACTCAATAAATACCAAACACTGGGGCACGAAAACAATAGAAGAGAATGGTGAAAAATCCCTTTATCTATGGCTCTGTACAATTGGGTGGTAAATTTGATAGTGTAGCTAAAAATCTGGCCACATGTGTATACCTTAATGTTCAAAATGGAGGTTATTTCAAGACAATATCTTATTCAGTTTCTGGGATAGAAGGGGAGCCTCTTTCCTTACATGCTGAAGTCACTAAGGAATGTTCCATTGGCTGAACAGATGCAGCACAAGGGGGCCTTGTTTAGCCTTTTGAGTCACAGGAAAGTAGGATAGAGAGAAGTTGTACAGATCAAACTTAGACCTTTATGGAGCCTTCGACGTATTTGTTGGGCTCCCTGTTACCAAGGTTCTGGAATTCATGTCATAGCCAGTCTCTACATCACTGTAGGTAAAGAAAGAGAGAAGCAAGATAAGTAGCAGCCATTCAGGATTGACAAAGACTCTGCTATTTGGTGAAGGATGCCACATTTATAATGTAACAATGTAAATGTTAAATTTTATGGAATTTTTGCCATTAACTTCTCCAAGGCCAGGATTTCACCCTATATGTTCAGATAAAAACCTGCAATAGTAGGACAGCATGTTGACTGGTGTCAGTGGTGCCCATGGATTATATGGGGCCCCCTTCAGGGCATCTATATTCTCATAAGATTTTCTGAATGTCCATACTAGTATTGCTCATCAGCTGTTCGTCATCTTAACCAGGAAGAGGTTCAGAAACCCTTAAAGACTTGAGTCCAAATTTTGGCTTAGTGAGTAATGATCCCCCAAATGGGCATCAGCTTATTCTGAAACCAAATGTTTATTCAAGTGTGGTTCACAGGAGCATGAATAGTCTGCATGACCGTCTGTGTGCAGGGACCATTGTCAGGTCAACAAGCTTGAAAAAACAGAGATCCTGCCCCAGAACCCCTGTGGTGCGCCTGACAAAGAACAGTTTTAAGGTGGTTTAATTTATTTATTTTTGGCAGCTAGGCAGAGCAATTTAATGTTTAAATTGTATTTTTCTCCTGCATTCATGAAGACTTACAGTAAAAGGCTTCCCCCCCACCCCCTACATCCTCTAGGGTTCGGGGCTCCATTTCACAGTTGGCTCTAAGCTTCTTTCAGTTGTTTATAAAAGCATTGCACCAGGAGATGAGAGGAAATCTCTTCCATCATTGGACATCAGCAGCAAGCGACTGGCTGATGGACTCCTGCAGCTGGCCTTTGCTTTTGGTGGCCAGGTAGGAGGATTACCTCTTCTGATTTACTGTCTCCAAGTCCATTTCTGTAGTACTGGGTTCTGGCATGTTTCCTGTTCTGATAGTTAATCTTAACTGTGCTGTCTTCAGGAACGTTGTAGAAGAAACTGGTCCATTTTTCTGTAACATGTATTTTTGGGACAGAAAATTATGTATGTGTACAGCATGCTGAATTTATAAAGTTCCCTCAACACTTCGAATCCAGAAGCCAGAGTTTGGCCATTGTTGAGTGCCAGTGGCAGAGGCAAATCTGGATTCTTTAGTAGCGGAAATATCCTGATACTGTTCTGGGGGTTGTGCTTTTTCCTTAAGTTTTAACATTTGTTTTCGTGTTATAAATATACGTACAACTATTTGAGAAGGTAGCTTTAAAAGAGTTTCTCTTGATTTTGTAGAAGACTAGTGACACTTAGTGACTTCAGTACCTCTGGACTGACCTCTCTTCTTGTGCCAATTCCCACAGTGTGAGGAGCTGGTAAGTCTCCTGTTGAACACAATGATGCTGTCTGTGCCACTATCAGGAACATCACAGAGGAGTCTGATCAGCTTCTCCCACGGAGAGTATTTCTACAGTTTGTTCTCAGAAACCATTAATCAAGAACTGCTGAAAGATCTGGATGTGGCCATACTTCAACTTATGAAATCATCTGTGGACAGCCCCAAAATGGTATTGGACCTTTTCTTCAAAAGGACACAGTCAGTTGAAAATGTCACATCCTCTCGAGTTACAAGAAACACCTTAGATGACTATAAATGAAAGATTAAGGGTTGGGAGGGGGGTGTTAAATTTTCTTTTTTCAGTGTTTCACTTTGTTGTGGAGTGTGTGTGTGTTGATACTTATTGATACTGCCTACTTCATGCACCATAGCAAGATGGCATAATTCCCATGCACTGCACTCTCACATACATGCTCTTCCCCAGGCCCCGTTAAAGGATGTCTGCCAATTAAAGAGGGTTTACTGGTAACACAGCAGCAGAGCTGATGTTTCTAAGATTGGGCTCAAGATCCCTGGTAAGGGCTAGGGACAGCAGAAGCCCATGGGAGGTGGGGATCTGTCTTCTTGGCCCAGATAGTGGTCCAGGGAATATAGTGACTGAAACCTGAGGAGCTGTGGCCTCTATCTGGGATCAAGGGGACAGATGATTCTTCTTTTTTGGGACTCCTCTACAGGTCCCTGGGAAGAATTTAGAAGTTGGAAGGCCTTATTTCAACGTTGCTGCTAAAGAGCCCAGCAGAGAGGTGGCAGAGCAGAGGGCTCAAGCATGTTTGCCAGTGTTGCTTTTGAGCCCACACACACTCTCTTGCAGAAAAATTCAGCAAGGAAGAAGACACCCCACTTAAAAATTAATCAAAGGAATTTTAAAAAATAGTTTGGATATGCCATTTAAAGGGTGTCTTATCTCAGACAATTTTTAAAATAATCAATCTGGTGGCATCACTTTAAATAGTTTCCAGTCATTAAAGCTGGTGTAAGCAGCAAAGAAGTGATTTTTTTCTAAAAGGCTGGCACTTGCATATTGATGCTTCTCCAATTTGCTGTGTGCGCAGAGCTATAATTGCTGTTAATCTGAAAACTGGATCTCTCGTATCTGGTAGATTGCTAAATATTCATATTCACACAGTTGTAGCTGGCAGCGGATGTTCTCTATAACACCTGCTTTTTAAATTCTCCACTTCTTTTATTTTTGAAAACTTCTTGTGGCTGGTTCATGCGCTAGAGGTCAGGGAGGCATGGTCAATTATTTTCCAAGACCAGATTCCTGCCTTCTCCTTTGTTAGAACTTGGAGATTTCTTTTTCAGGTTAGTGAGATTTTTCTTTTACAGTCTTATGTCCTCGCTTTTGAGGATTTGGGAAGAAAAATACCCATAGTTTAACTGTAATATTCTAAATCTGGTGGAATCCAAATATGATGATTATGTAGTCAAAAGTGCAAGTAATCCTTGCAGAGTAGGATGCAAAGTTCAGGTATAGTACTTAGTGATTTTGTTTTATTCTCTGATCACCTCATTTAGAAGAATTCTCTGTTTATGAAAACTGTGATCCCCTCCTGTTACACTCTCTGTCTTGGATTGCAAAGTTGAGGGAAGAGCAAAAAATGCTTGACTGTTACCATCTATGATACACCTTTATTCTTGGCTTCTCTGTGTACTTGCCAACAGAGATGTGTTTTTGATTTTATTTTTAAATGTTACTTCATTTGTATCTTAGGTCCATTCTAGATACTATTTTAAAATAAGAATTGGAGTTTATTAGGTTACTGTATCTGTCTCCCTCAAATATACTCCCTTTTCCCATGTTCACACAAACTTTAATAAACATGGGACAGAACTGCTGCACCATACATAGAATAAAACAGGAATGACTATGAGAGCAATTTGATTGTTAATGCTAGTATGTCCTTGTGGAAAATTAAAGTTAGCACTACTACTTAATGCACTGAAACTAATCCTCACTTGATCAAAATCACCTAGAGAATTTGGACCCAGTTCCCATTAAAAATAGTGGAAATTGGCTGTCCAAGTCTCCCAAACTAGTGATGCTTATTGTATGTAATCATCCATCCCAATGACCAGATATCATGATTACATTGAATTAAATGTTGTTACCATATGGAATACATGGATTTTTTATTTTTTCTTCATTTCAGGTGGGTACCATCCTGAATGGAATGTTAGATCAAAGCTTTAGAGAGCGTGCTGTACGCAAGCAGCAAGGAATGAAGTTGGTGACGGCAGTACTGAGAAACTGGATGAGACTTGACAGCTGGTGGGCCAAAGATTCTGCTCCAGAGAGCAAAATGGCTGTTTTGACACTGTTGGCTAAAGTTCTGCAGGTATATATTGTGTTTGGTAAAGTTAAAGCCACTTTAACAGCAATCTGTAAGAGCACTCCACATCTTGGAAGAGTGGCAGTGTTAGTTTTTGAAGGTTTGTTTGTTTGTCTTTGTTTATTTATTTATGTATTTATTTTTACTTTTATTGCTAGTTGCAGAATTTCAGTGTTTTCTGAATAATGAATACTAAGTATTAAAAAACCAAACAGGTTTTGGCAGGCAGAACTCTTGATTTCACTTTCCCATTTTTACTCCTGTGTCTGATGTTTTAGCTCTTCTTCTCCTTCATAACAAGAGTTGCTAATGGAAGGAGTAATCTTTGGGAAGCAAGCAGCCCCTGACGAGGTACTGCCCGTCTCATTGGCAGACAGACAATTCTTTTTGGAGTGGTTGTCCCCAGACCAAACCATTTCAGAAAACTATTCTGTCTGGAAGAACATCAACTTCTTTGCCTCTCCATTCCCTCACCTATTTGAGACACTTTTCCTCAGCTCACATCTTGAAGACAGAGCTTTTTTGACAACTTGTAAACCCATGCAAAATATCTAGGAAAAGAATCAGGATGATCTCCCCTATTCATCTTTTCATTTTCATTCTGTGGCTTGAGGTTTTTTACTGGAAGGTGTGTTTGAAAATATACAAAGTGGATTATCCTAATGGCTTAGCTGGTAATAGTGCAATGATCATAGGAGACCTAGTTTTGGGAAAGGGCTTAATATTGTTTTTCATTGGCCAGAAAAGCTCACAACATGTGATTCCCAACATTGTGATGGGTGGGAACTTTTGGATCCATGCTAAGAACACATGTAAAACCCAAACCCTCATCATATGCACATCTGCTGTCTACTGAAATTAATATCAGAAATGAATTATTCTTATGAAACTCTGAACAAAAATCATGGAAACTGTTTAACACAGATTCTTTTTATATATTAAATTTTTTTTATAAGTTTTAATTATTTTCTTTTCCTCTCCAGATTGACTCCTCAGTGTCTTTTAATACAAATCATGAGGCTTTCTCTGCTGTTTTTAATACATATACCAGCCTACTTATTGATCGGAATTTAGGTCTAAATCTAAAGGTAAGTTGTATTTTGTTTTGTTTTCCCCCAAGTTTGAATGCTAACACTGCTCAGGGATTAAAAAACAGTTTTAATTGGGTTACGTCACTAAGGGTACCTTTCTCTTCTCTTGCTTTTCATGATAACATAACAAATTTCCTTTTTTTCCTTGCCCTCCCATAGCTCAGCAAGCTAAAAATCACAAATTAATGTCATAATTTTTAGATGGTACATTTTTCTCAATCTTCCTTGTTTTTCCTTCTCTTTTTGATCATGTAGTTTTAGGAAAAGTCAATAATATGGAGATATTGATGTAGTTATAAACTCACTTAAAAATATAAGAGGAATATAGCTTGATTAGGGATATCATTTCTCTTTTGAACACTCTCTGTAGGGATTGAACCTGGGACCTTTCTATATAGAAGCATTAGTTTCCTACTGCTTGAGCTAAATACCAAACTCAAACTTCTATATGTAGTCAAGGCACTAGAGCAGGGACAAAGAACCACACTGTGTTAGCATGGGGTACAAAAGATGCTGGACTGAGAGCCCTGGCATCTTAAGTTCTCTGCCTACAGAAGTAGTACAGTATGGTTACTGCCAATGTTCCCTCTAATTTTTTACATCCATGTGCGGAATGAATTTTGTTATGTGCACCAATATGGAGGTGATGTGTGGTGGGAGTGGGGCCGAGGAGTTCGGAGTGTGTGTGGGGGCTCAAGGCTGGGGCAGAGGGTTGGAGTGTGGGGGTGAGGCATCTAGGCTGGGGCCGGGGATGAGGAGTTTGGGGTGTGAGAGGGGGCCCAGGGCTAGGGCAGAGGGTTGAGGTTTGGGGGTGAGGGCTCTGCCTGGGGGTGAGGGCTCTGGGGTGGGGCTGATGGGTTCAAGGTGTGGGAGGGGGCTCAGGGCTGGAGCAGAGGTTGGGGTGTGGGGGGGTGAGGGCTTCAGCTTGCGGTGTGGGCTCTGGGATGAGGGATTTGGGGTGCAGGCTGCCACGGGGCTGCAGCAGGGAAAGAGGAATTCCGCCAGCCCTCTCTCACCACCGGCAACAGTTCCAGGGGAGAGGCACCTCTCCCCTCCGGCAGCTCTGCACACCCCAACTTGCTCCCTTCCCTGCCCACCCCATAACTTTCTCCTCTCCAGGCCCCTGTGGCTGCGCACCTGCCAGCCGCGCTGCTTAGAAGGAACTTAGCTTACTCCCCTGCTAATGTGAGTCTGCCCTGAATTAGGCCGATTACTCTGGTGATTGCCTGTATGTTCATATTCAATTGAACTTGGACTTTCTGCTGTAGCTACCAAGAAGGGTATCAGTTAGTGCATTAGTAGTGGTGTTTTTCTGTGCTAGTAGACACTTGTTCACTAGAAAATGGACTGAGACTTATTCATTGTGTACATCAACCATGAAATATCCGTTGGAGGATAATTTTTGGTCATCTCTGACCAGGGCTTGATTTTGGACCAGCAGCTTAAAATATGGAAGGCTACATATTAACTCATTACCAACCAGCTGAGCTATCCACTCACCTAACTCTGCTACTGAAGAGTAACTTACAGTTTTTTCAATCTGATACATAGTTGGAGGGTGAAAAAGTTTTTTTCTAATTTGAAATAACCTCTATTTACTTCAGAGTCAAGCAGTGATTATTCTTCCATTCTTCACTAATCTGACTGGAGAAAGGATTAGTGAGCTTAAGAATGCTCTTGACCAACTGGTGGCTTTCAATTTCCCCATGAAGTCTGATGAGTTTCCAAAGGGAACCTTGAGGTACAATAACTATGTGGACTGCACTAAAAAGGTCAGTACTTGAGTATGTGTAAAGTGTTTAAAGGATAGCTCAGTGGTTTGAGCGTTGGCCTGCTAAACCCAGGGTTATGAGTTCAATCCTTGAGAGGGCCATTTAGGGATCTGGGGCAAAAAAAATTGGTCCTGCTAGTGAAGGCAGGGGACTGGACTTGATGACCTTTCAAGGTCCCTTCCAGTTCTATGAGATAGGTATATCTCCATTTATTATTATTATTATTATTTTATTAAGTGAATTTGTATGCAGAAACAATGCAGTTTATCGGTATGTTTGTCATCTTTGAGGAGATCGGATTGTTTTCTCTAAATCATTATTTAGTTCACCAATTTATCTTAATTTATTCTTGGTAGTTGGTGATTCCAAACATCAGAAATTAGGAATATAAATACAAGGTCCAGTTCTGCAAACCTTTACCCTTGTGAACAATCCTTATTCATACAAGTAGTCCTATTGACCTCTGTGGGATGACTCACAGGAGTAAGCTTTAAATTTAAAGGATAGGGCCCATGGTAATTCAATCTGAAAAAAGTCATATTTAAGCTAATACAGTTATCAGATTACTTTCTTTAAGAATATGTTGTGTCTGTATTAGGACAGAGCTAAATTGTATTCTCCATGGTCTAGACTGTGACTATTGAACCACATCCCTCTATAGGGGAGGTGCAGTGCAGAAAGGAATAATGGAGAGGCACAGTCTCTTCTCGGGCTGCTTCTTCCACACATGGTAGTGAGCATTTTGTCCATCCATCCATAAAGTGGAGCAAATAGCTGTCCCCAGTGTAGTAGTTCCATCCATGACCCTACCCCCAAAGTGCAGGAAACAGATGGAATTCTCTTGAATTAAGAGGGCTCTCTGACAGCTGCCACATCCCCCTACTCCTCAAAGAAAGAGGCTTTCTTTATCACTGGTGACTTTTTGGGGGGCAGGGGGGGATTCTCTTTCCTGACAAATGAAAATATATGAAATAAAAATACTCTCTTAAGCATGGCCCAGCAGCATCTGTTGCTGACCATTGTTAGAAATAGGATATCAGATCCGATGGACCATTGGTTTGATCCAGTATGGGCAACTCTTGTATTCTTTTTTCCAGTTTCTAGATGCACTAGAATTATCTCAGAGTCCAATGTTGTTACAATTGATGACAGAAATCCTCTGTAGGGACCACAGACACTTTATGGAGGACTTGTTTCAAACCAGTTTCAAAAGAATTTCCAGAAGGTGAGCTTGGGCTGTCATTTTTTGTTTTTCTGTGAAGTTTTACCTTGCCAATAGGTGCTGGACAGTAATCAAGTCCTGTTATGCAGACCATTATGGTTATGAGCATTATATTTCCAGCTGTACTTTTGAGGAGATAACTTGACAATCTGATACATAGTTGGAGGGTGAAAAAGTTTTTCTAATTTGAAATAACCTCTATTTACTTCAGAGTCAAGCAATTTCTTCCTGATCTCTCTTGAGCTATAACATTTCCTCCTGAAATTCTCCCAAAATATTTTAACCAGTATTTCCTGTAAAATACAAGTAAATGAGGTTCTGATTTCCAGATGACACTTCATGTATCTGGAAAAGTTTGCAAAGCCTTCACAGCTCAGTCTCTTCCAATACAATTCAAATCAAGATAATAATCTTGGAAAACATGCACCCGGGGATGTTCAGTTGATCTTCCAATTGTATATTTAACAGAGTTAACATTTTCCATAAGTAACTATCATGAAGACAACTAATAATTACTTCGTGCAAATTTATGGGGAATGAGTTTTACCAGGACAGTAAGACAGAATCATTTACAAAAAAAAAATGTGGTATTCAGAAAAGAGTGTGTTTTAAGATTATGTCCGCATTGAGAGTGTTAAGGTTTCCTGACTTGAAGTCTTCATTTATGTCCAGATTTCAGTTTTGTTTGTTTAGTTTTATATAATTATCCAGGATAACAGCCAATATGTCGCAAAACTACATCACTGACCAGCCAAAATTTACCATGTCAATAAGTGCTGGGCAGTAATCAAGTCCTTCTCTTTTCCTTCCTCTTTGGAGATCAAGTATGTCTCTTCAGTTGTCCAGAAAGCAAGAGACTGAATGAAGCATAGCTCCAACCCAGCTGACTCTTGAAAAGTTGTCCTTTTCAAAGAGTTCTAGTTTTCTCTCTTTGTGAATGATTTGGTGGGTGCATGAATGGGCTCAATTTTTTTATTTTTTATTTGCTATCTGCTTATTACCACATTTCTAGGTGATGTTCTGTACACATTATTAAAGATATAACTGAGTTTTTAATATACACAGAGGACCAGAGTCTAAATGCCTAGATGTTAAATACTGATAGCTATGTGTATCTTGAAAAATCTGATACTGTGCTTTTGCATAGTTAGGTCACCAAAGTATGTTTGGGCAGCTAACCTTCATGCCCAGGGATCAGACTCCGGTATTTGAGCCCTCTTTCCACATGTGATTGATGCTTATGCCATTGCTTACTTGCAGGCTGCTTCTGAAAATTAAGCAAAACTGGACAGGAGAATATAAATCCTGTTAAATATTTCTAAGAATTGTATATGGTGGTGGAATCTCCATCCTTAGAGGTTTTTAAGGCCCGGCTTGACAAAGCCCTGGCTGGGATGATTTAGTTGGGGTTGGTCCTGCTTTGAGCAGGGGATTGGACTAGATGACCTCCTGAGGTCTCTTTCAACCCTCATCTTCTGTGATTCTATATAACAAGCTTCCTATATCTAGGCTATTGGGTATTGGTTTCCTAGTTATAGGGTTTTAATGGTTTGGTGTTTCAAGTGCTCATGTGTGCAAGTACTATTTTGAATTTATATAATGGTCTTTTGTCCTGAAAGCTCCCAAAACACCTGAAAATTACATATGTACAAGAATTGTGTCATCTACCATTGAAATGCAGCTGTCTTTGGGATGAAATATGGCCTCCGTTTAATAGCACACAGCAGCACTGCACTATTGTTTGGTAGGAAGTGAAGAAAAGCATGGCATATATTGACAATGCAGGGGGGAGATCATGTAGACTGAATGTAATTATCCAATCTGGAATTGAGCTAAAATGCTGGGACTAATACTGTTCTGTAGAATGCCGTAGAATCTTTCATGACCACAATTGGTCTAGAGTTGGACCTCTCATTTATAAACCATCAGATAGCACCTCCACTAACCCAGTGCCTTCAAATGGCATGCTGTGGTGTTGGATTAACAATGACTGAAAAAGTATGCCTACGCTCCACGCTTCTTATGGTGTCATGTAGAGTACATACACGGCTCCCCTTCCTCTCCCCCCACAGCACAGGTATAAATAGCAGTGTAGATAGTGAGGCACTGCTTAGGCAATTAAAGACAAGCCTGGATATACTTGGTATGTACCTGGGTATATACTCTGTGTCTGACTCCAGCCAAAGCAGAGCCTCCCCAATCTGTTACTCCTGTACAATCTGCTATTTTTCCAGCCTTTCTCCACCACAGGGAGAGATTCCGGGCAGGATGAGGCAAGGGGGAGGTGCTGAAGCCTTTTCCTTTTGTCTCACCCTGCCAGAGCCTTTCATTGACACATGTAGCTACACACCGCAGTGTGGACACAGCCTTTTTAATGAGGAATATAGCTACATGTACCCTATATGCCACCGACAGCGGTGTGCAGTGTAGATGTAGCCAAAGAGCAGAATGCCACTTGCTGAATGACAAAAACTGCTTCCTGCAACACCTGGGTATCGTAGGTATCCCACTCCAGTTCTGACGACCTTGCTTACCATGTGAGATCCGCTGAGATTACAACCCAAGTTGATATGACTGCTGAAGAGAATCAAAAAGTAAATGTTGTGGAGTTGAAAATTTAAATGGAATTCTCATCCTCCTTAGGAGCAGCTGTGAAAAACAAGTGGTGCTGTTAGACACCGTGCACAAAATGTTCCAGAGTGAAGCCCTTCTTTCAAATGCCACTCGACAAGCCTTTGTGGATCGCTCTTTCCTCACCCTCTTGTTGCACTGCAGCTTGGATGCACTGAAAGATTTTTTTAGCAAGATTGTATTGGTAGCCATGGATACACTGAAGACCAGATTTACAAAGGTGAGCTTCATTTATGCTTTAAGGTTGGAACAAATCCTCTAAAATGCCAGTATTGTTCCGTTACAGAATATATTTTTCTTAACTAAAAATACAACATTCAAATAAAGATCATTTTTTTTCCAATTTTGAGTACATTATAGAGCACAAATTAAAGTCACTGGGAGTCTTTCCATTGACTTGAATGTGTGTTGGATCTGGCCTGAACATGTTGTTACAGTGAAATTAACATACAGTAACTTATGAAAAGAGAGAAGAAATGTCATCTGTGTATATACAGAGAGGCTTAAGTTCTTGTCAAAGGCAAAATCCTGCCCTAACCTTAACTGGGGTGTGTGCGTCTGTCTATAAGATATATTGTCTTACTGTACTCTTAAACGATATAAACTTGCACATTAATATGAAATGATGGTGATGGCTCCAAGTCTTATTTTGACTATTAGAAAAATGTTAGTACTTCCTGTGGTCAGAAATATGTATATTTTTTTTACAATTAAAAATCCTTACTGTTTTTATTTCAAAATACCAAAGTGCTGACCATCCTAGGGTGAAACTCCCATTGATTTCTTAGCAGACAGGATTTCACTTCTGGCTCCTATTTTATATTATCCTATCATGGTCCTATTTTTAAAAATTAAATATATAAATATGAAGGCTCATTGCAATACGAAAAAATAGAATTCTAAGCCTGTATTTCTTGTATTTCTCTCTGATATAAAAAGTTATAAATGCAGTTTATATTTAAGGCTTTTCTTTTTTTTGCTGCAGTGAGATTGCCATAAAATCTAAAGCTGTGGGTTGTGGAGCACTAATGATGATTAATGTCCTAGACATATTGCTTGATAAATATTTTTAATAATGTCTGTACTTACATAATATATCTTGGCCAAAGATCTGAGTGCTTTACAAACCTTTAAGTAACACTCCCAATACCCCTGTGAGGTGAGGAAGGACTGTTCTCCCCATTTTACAGATGGGGATGTGGGCACAGAGGTGGTGACTTGTCCAGGGTCATATGAGATATCTGTGGCACAAATGGAAATAGAACTTAGTTCGTCTGTTTCCTAATCTTCTATTTCTGCATTTATTTGTTCCTACACTATTGTGTACTGGTACTGCATTTTTTCAAAACCTTAGAGCTATATTTTGGATGATAATTGTTGAATATTGCATGCAGTCTATAAATATGTTTATGGAATCTTCAAAGAAATATTTAAGATGCACTCATTACATTTTAAATTAAAATTGACATTTTATTTTATCATGAAAAGTAGTTAGTGGCTGGATGTTTATTTTTAACATTATACAGTGAGACTTTTGATTTGGAATTTTAGTTTTAGAATATGGAAAAAAATAGAGTTTACTATAGTTTTCTACTGAGTAGCTTTTGGAGATACATTGCAAGGACAAAAGCTAAGTGATCTTTTCCTCTGTACGTGTTTTTTTGTTTTTAGTCAAATGAACCTGCTTTTGATACACAAGTCACCAAGAAAATGGGGTATTATAAGATTCTGGAAGTGATGTACTCCCGTCTCTCAAAAGAGGATATTTACTCCAAGGACTCTAGAATTAACCAGGCTTACCAGGGATCCACAAATGTAGAAGGAAATGAACTTACCAAGACACTAATAAAGTAAGGCTTTCTCATTGTTCCATAAACTTGTTTTCTACCGATTTGTCTGCGTGCCAGATATTTTTTATAAGTATGCGGTTTAAACCAAAAGTTCATCATATCCAAGGAAAAATTTAATTTGAAAACTGAGTTTTGGTTTAAACCACAGTATAAGGTGTTGAATTGAATTTATGTCTCGATGTGAGGATTTCTAAATATAGAAACTTGAGTACTTTTCTGTCAGAGTAGGAACCGCTTTTTTCATGGGTGTCTTTGTGACTGCTGGGGGTTTTGTTTGGTTTGTTTTTTAATGAAAGGTGTGAGATTCAGCATCTTTTAAAATGACTCAGTGGATTTCCCTTATCTTTTACTGTGGCTTATCACTGAAAGATTCTAGATCTTTCGTATAATTTTGCTGATCTCTAATGTAGCCAACCTGGCCTGTTCGCACATAATTTCCTATATAAGAGGCTTGTGAAAGTCTTCTATATGGGTTGAGAGCTGGTCTTTAAAATGTTCTCTGTCTGATTTCAAGTTGTCAAAGTATTCGATCCCTAGCACTGCCAATCACTGTGGAAATACCAGCTAATGTTTGGCTTCAGTAGTGCTGCTGATTCAATTTTAATAAAATATTTCTATGAGAAGACTTAAAGGCAAATTAATATTTGAGATGGTGCATTGAGATGGTGCATCAGTAGGCTGTGCTATGACATAGACTTCCATAGGCTTTGCATCTTTCTGTTGATTTTCATTGGCCTGTGGATTGGACTCTGTATGGCCTTCTAAAAAAGATTTTGACAATATTTTCTGGTCTGTTTTGTTTTAAGGTCATGCTATGATGCATTTACAGAAAACATGGCTGGTGAGAGTCAGCTGTTGGAGAAGAGGAGACAGTACCATTGTGCTGCATATAACTGTGCCATTGCTGTCATCAGTTGTGTCTTCACCGAAAGTAAATTCTATCAAGGTTTTCTCTTCACAGAAAAACCAGAAAAGGTGAGATTTAATGAGGAGGCTACTGTCATGTCAAAGGTCTGCAGGGTCCATACAGCATATTTTGGACACTAACTGAAAGTTTGTACTTTGAACCCAAGAACTGACCCTATATAACGCAAATTGTTATGTAAGAAACTGATGAAAGAGGAAACAAGCAGGGAGGTAATTCTTGCGCTCTAGTCCGCGCTGATTAGACCTCAACTGGAATACTGTGTCCAGTTCTGGGCACCACATTTCAGGAAAGATGTTGACAAATTGGAGAAAGTCCAGAGAAGAGCAACAAAAATGATTAAAGGTCTAGTAAACATGACCTATGAGGGAAGATTGAAAAAAATTGGGTTTGTTTAGTCTGGAGAAGAGAAGACTGAGGGAGGGGACAGAATATCAGTTTTCTAGTACATAAAAGGTTGTTACAAGGAGGAGGGTGAAAAATTGTTCTTGTTAATCTCAGAGTATTGGACAAGAAGCAATGGGCTTAAATTGCAGCAAGGGAAGTTTAGGTTGGACATTAGGAAAAACTTCC